TGCCTGCCTGACTTTCCCATATAGTTTGCTGCAGAGGAAAGCGATAATGGTTTTGTTTTTTCAGTGTATTTCACCATATGTTTGTCATTTTAATTCCATCTACCATAAGCTCTTCTACTATATATTAAAAATAGCCCTGTGTACATATGTTGCCCATGTGTTAGAGTTCCATAGGCGCTTGTTTTTACTGTAAACCTTTGACAGAAGTAGGGAGTCGTTCAAGGTCACTTTGGAATATAGGTATCATACACTACCATAGTGACCTCAAAAATATCTTCTTGATGAGGCTAGTATTCATGAGAAGCCTTCACAGGAGGACCTTTGGCATGCTTACTGCCCTACTTTCAAATTAATCCCATGTCAGTATGACTGGTTCTGTGGATGCTTTTTATTCCTTTAGAGTATATAATTAGTTTTGATAAAACCATTCAGAATACCAAAGGTGCAGAGAGGAAAGCTGGAGGTTTTTCTTTGCGGGAAGGTATTCTATTTCTGTAATGGATCTGTTTGTAAACAGCCACCCAGCTGACCTCTGGAGTCATCCCAGGCACTAATTTTATTGGAAACATAGTTCTGTGGTGATCTAGCATGTGGTATTTCCAGTCTGATTTAAAGACGGTGTGTTTCATTTGCTGGAAACGAATTCATCCACTGTATTGTGCATTTACAGTTATTTATACGTTGTTGTACCCTCATAGTTTGGAAGGGAAGAGTAAGATCTTTTTAGTCTACCTAACTGTATGTAATGTATTCAAATGTGTACCAGTGTTAGTTCAGAAAACCAAAAAGAAATGACACAGCAAGCATAGTGGGGGCAGGTGTTGTACAAAGTTTAAAGCTGTCTCTGTAAAATTCTTTCAGGGAGATCAGAACCTTTACGAGTCGCTACGGCCCTGCTGCTGGAGCAAATTTCCATGTGGGCCTAATTACAACAAGACTTTTGCTTTTCTGATGCGAGTAAATCACTGTGTTCTAACGGGTTGAGCCCCTTCGCCCCCAACTTCATTTCATTTTTCCTTTTAAAACTCTGGTCTCTGAGCTGAAAAACCAATCCATTAATCCAATGAGCCTGCCAGGAAGTCTGCCTGTTTTTTAAACTTTGAAAAATCGTTTATTTTCAGAAGCCCAACGTTAGTGAAAAACATACCCACCAGCTTAGGCTATGGAGCAGCTCTTAATGCAAGCTTGCAGGTAAAAAACACTAAATTATTCTTTCTTTGCACACAACTAATTATGTTCTTATGTGTGACATATTTAATTTCCTGTTATACTTTGGTGTAGAGTTACCTATATTTATGTTTATGTTTATGTGGCCCTGATGGTCATTCTAAATAGTTGGGTTTATCATCCAAGTAAGTTGTATTACCTAGCACTGCAAGAAGTACTGGTTCTTATTCATGCTACTTTTGATGTGAAGAAGCAAGAAGGACACCCTGTGGCAAAATCTGGAACACTCAGTTTTGCTGCAAATGTTAGATTGATAGAAGCTTTTGCAAATGCATGTGGATATGCATTAATATTTATCCAAGCTGTCATAAATGATTTCACATCATAGTGTTGGAGAACATGGTGCTCATGGCAAAAACTTTAAAGTTTAATTATAATATATAATTTTTATGCAGAAGAGGCAAATGTCAGGACTTTTTTATTTTGAGTTAAGTTCTGGTCATTTTTTAAAGTATAGCAGCTGCCTGCATTATAAAGGAGCCATACATTGTGTGGAAGGGCATAGGGGTTAAGTGTAATTCAAAGTCAAAAAATGATGTAAAACTAGAAAGTGCTATGAATATCGGTACATAGTTAATAGTGGAAAATAATGAAACCTATGTAAGAGAAATAGTAAACCAGAAAAAGAGATGTCATTATATTCAGAAGGTGAAAATAATTGGAAAATGCACAAAATTATTCTGATTACCGCTACAACTACCCAAAACGAGCTGCTTTGTGTGTGTGTATATTCATACGTGAATGAACGTTTAGAAGCAGTTTGTATATGTATGGACTAATAATTTTATTTTTACTCTTCATTTTACTAGGCTGCACTGGCAGAGAGTAGTTTACCATTGCTTAGTAACCCAGGATTGATAAATAACGCATCCAGTGGCTTACTGCAGGCAGTCCATGAAGATCTCAATGGTTCGCTGGATCACATTGACAGTAATGGAAATAGCAGTCCGGGCTGCTCTCCTCAGCCTCACATGTAAGTGCAGTTAGCATCCTTCCAAGGAAAAATGCCTTAGCCTAAGACACAATATTACTCAAAAGTGCTTTGAAACATGGTAAGTGAAACATCTGGAACCACATGTTTGAAACTAAACATTTATATTAAAACATTTAAATGGATGATTCTTCATTTACTTTGTAGTAAGATTGGTGTAAGGTTTTTTTGGTTGTGTTTTGGGTTTTGTTTTTGTGGGTTTTTTTAAAACCTCTTCAACTTGCTTGCAAGCATTGACTGTAACAGGAGGCTGATCTCTGTGGTCATTTTCACAACCTGGTTTGTAAGGTATAGTCAGAATGTTCATGTTGGAATTAGTTGCACTTTTAACTATGAGTCTCTAAACCATTTATGAACTGTAGTGGAGATATTGCCCATTTATATAAACCATAAAATGCAAAGTTTAACTGTTGCCCACAGTTTACATAGAAGCCAGTAAAGTGTAACTTTTTGCCTGTCGTATAAATCAGTGTAATTACATATTCAAGTTTAATTACTGGTGCGTCTGTATTGGCAAGGTTTATATGTTATATTTTATGCAAGACTACGATTCCTATTAATATTTAGCAGCTAACTATATCATTAATTACTCTAAAATCTTTCCCCTACCATCTTTTTAATGGAGCTGAGAGAGTGGAAGTATTAAAAATTGATGTATTGTGGATTTCAGAAATGTGTCTGAAGCTTTAGAAATGCCTGGCCTTAATCAGTGGTGTCAAATGTGGCAGTTTCTTGTTTACTAAATAGTAAAACATGTATCTTGGAGGTATTGTTTCCCAGGTTATTTATATAATAATTAGCAGTGTAATAGCTAAGTAGACTTAAATCTAAGTTTACTGTAGGATGACTTTTAACGTGTATGTACAATTACGGTCTCTTTTTTTTATGTGTTTAAAATAGCTGATCTGATTTGCCTTTTTTAATTCCATTTTCTCTTTCACATTTTTAATGTTCATTTTAATTTCTACAGTAACAATAATTGAGACCAAACTCCCTTTTTACTTATGCTCTGGTGTGTGGAGAATCCATTTTGATCTGACCTTTTTAGGGGAAATATTTTGCAGAGTTTTGCTTTTGTTTGGCATGTTAATATATCTGTGATCGCATAGAAATGTTTATTGTCACTCATTTAATTGTTTTACTGCACATTTATTCTGCTTGCCTTTGAAAATAATACACTGTGAACGTTCATGTATTTTATCAGGTTCCAAACCATTACTTTTTCAAAATGGAAAAATTTGTCTTTTGGAAGTGTCTTTAGATGTATTAAATAATACAAAAGAAGTAATAAAACTTGAAGTAGAAAGAACATGAATATATGCTCTTGAGAGTAACACTACTCTAAAACAAGTAAAGTGAGCAATCAGACAAAAGTTTTTATATCCCATGCTTTATGCTATCAACCATGCAGTGGGTAGCTTGAGGCCTTTTACTTTTAGCAGTTCTCCTGAGTATGCTAATGCTCTCTTCCTGTATAAAATGCCAAGACAATAAAACTTTAAAGAGCAAACAAGAGTTAGATCATGTGTGTTAAAAACAGCTACTTTACTGAAAAGAGTGACACTTGCTATTAAAGTTGTTTTGTAAGTGTTTGGCAGATCTGTTTACATATCCTATGCACCGCCTGCCATTCCCCTGGATAAACTGAGTTATCTGTGCATGTGATTATGTAGATATGGCTACATTTATAGCTGTGTTTATAGCTGAAGTACTGCATATTGTAGCAATTCTTGCCTGTAAAAAAGGCAAATAATGTGAGTTACACCCTAACTCAAGATTCAGCCTTCCTCTCATTTCTATGATACGTTATTTGTCAAAACAGGCAGTTTCGGGACTTGCCATGGTGGCTTTTTTGAAACTTAGGGCTACGTGTTGCTCGGTTCTTGGTAGACGGAAGCAACAGAATGTAAACGCACTGAGGTGCCAGTGGAGAAAGAGGTGATGCTCATTCATCCCTTGCGCCAAATTTAGGGCAAGATTACTGGGCTTCTGTGAGACCGTGAACTGTCAACCAAAAGACACAGGCTATGACTAGATACCTGCTCACTCGTGAAATTTTTGCCTTTTCCTTGCTGAGGGAGCCAAGAATATGAAAAAGGGAATGAATGCAATCTGCAAGGAAAATTCAAGGGAGGGGCTTGTGCAGGAGGCAGAGGACCAAGGAAGAAGAGGGGCCTCTTCCTTGCCTTCATGACCACATTGACCAGGGCCCCTTGTTTTTGTTAAAGAACATTACTTAAGAAAATGAGAAAATAACATAGGGAAAGCATGACAGAACTAAAATAAGTAAGGAATATGGCAAAAAATGAAGAGGAATTTTAAATTTTACATTACATGCACAGATTATATAATCCCAGGGTTGTTTTTTTAATGAAAAACAGTCAGTGCACTAGGCAAAAAAAAAAAAAAAGTATTTTACTGCCACACGCATCCGCTTACTTGTAGTTTCCTGAGAAAGTTCACCCAGGAAGTCTCCTCTGGAGAAGCGTTCTTGGGGGAGTCATAATTACTGCACTCATCTATCAAGTCAGTGGCTGTGTTAATCTCCAAGTAGATTAAACCTCCATCTTCTGATTCCCAGGAAAGCATACCAGACACGACACCAGGAATATGCTGAGCAATTACGTTGCCTGCCATCTTGAAGCTGGCATGCAGCCAGGAGCAATGGAGCATGGTATTAGGGACAGAGGCAAGAGGTTGCGTGCAATTTAGAGATCAGAGCATTCAGTTGGGAACAGGCAGAGTTTGGATTCTAGACAAGCTTCCGGGGAGAGACATTTGT